TTTATGGTAAAAATAAATTCAAATTAATTGATGTAATTTTCAAAGAGCAGTAATTATTTTCTATTTTGAAGTTCATTAAACCATCGTGCGATGGCAACCTTAAGATAATGTTGAATTAAACAAATTAATCATGTTTTAAAATAATGTCTAAAATGGGGAAAAATGCGCATCTGCTGAATGTGCCATACAAAACCAACATTTAATGACAGTGTGCAGGTAATTTGACAACATCGCAGCGGTTGATGCTCATTAGGCAAGCCATTGGAATTATCATTATAAATTATATTGATAAGACGTTGTATTTGAAATGAAAGTCATTTATCTGTGTACTTAAGCAAATGATTTAGCTATAGAGAGTCTTAGATGCGATCATTTTTCATGTTGTTTGTTTTCCATTTCAAAACAACAAAAAAATGAATCAAATTCTCCGAATTAGAATCGAGTGCCATTGTGAAATAATTAGCGTTTACGCATTGTTTCGAAAATTGTCGGTTCTTTTCAGACAAAATTCAATTCGTTTCTTTTTACCACCCACATACTGTGAAATGGTATCATTTTGATGCTATCGCATTTTTATAATCGCACTTCTTTGATACAATTCAAATTATAATCACATTTATTTTGATTTTATATTTCATGTGCACTTCTTCCGGAAAGCGACTGTTATTTTTTATTACTCTAATAGATTCTAAATTGTTTTGAATCACGCATTATAATTTACATTTTCAATTAAAAACTTTTCACAATAACTAGTGTAATGGAGCACATTTAGATATTGTATTGGGTGGGCTGCATGTGAGAAGCCTCTGATAAGGGTTCGACTATTTGCAAATTTATACAAAAAGAAATTGTAATTCAAAATAATAAACTGGAATCAAGGCTGTCTGTAAACATTGTAGACGCTGACCAAAAAGTGAATTGAAACTTATTAGACACGCAAATTTTGCATAAAAGAAGTCAATGCATATACTCAGCTTATCGACACAGTGATTGCGTAGCATTGAAAATAGGAGGGTGACCACACACGTCGCAAATAAAATCCGTCCAAAATAGTACACGCAATGTGTTTTGACAAATTTATTGCATATTCTGGTTGATTTTTAAACCTCCGTCCCAAGTTGAAAAAGAATGCATGAAAGTTGAACAACAGCATATTGGTATCAAATGAAATATTGATGTAGACATGAAAAACTGTCCCATGCAGACCAAATCGATTTTTTTTTACATTTTTCGTTGTTGTATTTGGCATTTTTGCTTCGAAAACTTTAAAATCAAACTTTATGATGAATCAAGTTGATTGTAGGTCGCCGTCATCAACGATACACCGTCAAAGGGTTATATTCACGAGGCCGGACTTTTGTGATTTTATTTCAAAATGATAGAGTCAAGAGTATATTAGAATCACGTATGCTGCGAGATAGTAGTCTCATTTGCAGTGACTTCCGTTCGTATTTCATATGTAAATTATCGGTGTAATTGAAACAAGTCCATTGTAAATGGATACCCATTTTGGATTTGTGGCAACGTTGATTACGTCTATTGTTACAAATTTTCCCTTGAAAATCGTTCGACGATGTTGTGATTTATTTTGTTTTGAGCATTTTGTGCACGTCGAATATTTGTTTTGATGCGCAAGCATAAAGTTTCGACCAACTTCTTTCTGGATAATAACCATAATAGAGACAAACGGATGTAAAGTAAATTTTCGAAAGGGAGCATATTTCAGTTCAGACTTGTCCACATATAGGCTCTATATAGTGTCGTTGAGACGGCGAGAAATTTAAAACGTTTGAATGTTAGTCGAAAAAAAATGGAATTTCTGATATGAAATGCTTTGAAGATGAGGTTCATTTATGAATTGGGCAACGAACCGTCTTCAAACCTCGAAACATTCATTTAACCCTGAAATATGTGTTTCTTATGCACCTAAAAAAACATTCTCCTTTTCCGATTCATGTTTGTAAGCGAATTCATCGTCGAGAATGCCATCAATTAGCATAATGATTGAACAAACATAAAAGAAAATCAAAATTTGCGTGTGAGATGCAAGCGAATTAGGAAGCAAGAATCATTAATTTCACTGATGAATTGTTGTCGAACGTTTTTGATAACAAACGCTTGAGTTAATTTAATCTGATGCTGCCTCACTGATTCCAAATACCGTCCATACAATGGTCGTGAATAAAAAAGAATCCGCTTCAAACCATAGAGATATGTGCAAGCGATATATTTCAAAAAGGTTGTTTTTGTTAACCGTCACTCTATCGCTGTGCAACATCAAGCAGCTGTTTCATTTTAAAACGTCCTTTCATCGCTAATATTATTGCTAAAGCCCACTTTTGATGAGAACTTTATTATAATTTGAACACCTGTTTTGACTACGATTCTTCAGTGAACCATTGATTGAGTTCAACATGAAATTACCCCGTGTTAATGTATGCATGTGTTCGAAAAAAAATCCGTGTTTTTTTCACAATGCCAATCGACTTGCAGATCTATTTAAAGATGCAATCATTTTTAACTTTTGCGATGCTTTATGCTTTTCGATGGGGAACGCTATCAGATTATGAAATCTTTATAGATTTGATGCCAATTATCGGTTGAGTGGCTCAAAAATGTATACAACAAAAAAACTGAAACTTCGTTAACAATACATTTTCAACTCGAAAATGCATCTCTTCAAAATTTAAAATCTCTTTTTTTATTCAGAATCTTCAGCTGAATAATAAATACAAAAGAAAGCTTGAAAAAATGAATATTTTTAAATCATTTTAAGGATGCTTGAAATAAGAGAGTTTTCCACATCGAAGTTTGGAACAATTTCAAATTATTCAATAGGTTCATTCGTCCGTACCATTAGAAAACACTGGCGGCTTTAGAAAAAACGATTAGAATTCCGCAGTTGTCAATGTGTCATTTGTATTTGAATCCATAGAGATAAACACTGTCTATCGAATGCTTGCGTTGAGACCATTTGATTAATGATTTTGGTTTCTTTTCGTAGTTCGTGTCATTGTGTTTCGTTGTTTAGTCCGCGTGTCATGATAATTTGAATGGTTTCATTTGATGTACGTTGAACAACCTGTTTTATTTGTCAGATGCATTCTGATTATTTGAAATTGCAAACAGTGTCCCCTTTTTCAACATTTGGCCCATTGATACATATGGAAGCGCGAAGCGAGACATAACCACGACATCACATTCTTTATTGAACAAACCAGCCAAAGCACAGGCAATCATAATTTGTACAGCTGTCAAAGCGAATTATTGGGCGAGTGCATGAGTGCAAAATTCATTTGTCACACATTCGAAATGGTCGGTGTTGCAATTTAAATGGTTATTTACTTTTCGATATTTGTTCATTTGTACTGGCATCGCAAAATGCTGAAGTCATTTGATATGTTGGGATTTAATAATAATAGTGAGGGTGTTATGACTGTTCATTTTATGATTTGTTTGGATTTTGTCTCCGAAAAAACTTCATTAAAAATTTACTTTATCTTTCGAAATGATTTGAACTGCGTCGAGTTGCATGGGCTAAATTGAAGGGCAAAAAAAAGTGAAAAGATATTTTTCGACTGTAAAAAGATGGAAAAGAATCGGGCGAAAACCGCACTGTAAAAGATGTTCCACATTGGCACAGAATAAGTTGCATTTATTTGAACAGAATGTAGACCCACGACAAACCACGATACTCATACATATATTTGCCCATACTTATACACAAACACACACACACACACTTATGCTCACTATTCAGTAAGTATTACACACGCACGCACATCGACACGCACACATTGAATCGATACACCCCTTCTGAAGAGGACAGATTGTATGCATTGCCGCAAAACTATTGCATGAACAGCATGTAACGTAGTGCATTCAATACGTACAAATTAAGCGTATATTCAGTCATTTGGTTTGCTTCGCTACTTACATTTTAAATGTTATTTATTGTTTGAACATGGTACCGAATTAAAAACTTTTCGGCAACACAAACGCACACACTACAAACTGCAATAGTATGCAATAATACACGGATTTGTTATTCCCGTGTCTCTTTATTATTTCTATTCGGTCATGCCCATGCGTTACAAAACGACACAGAGAGAGAGCGCGCTCACTGCTCACACTCACCCCAACTAAATACAATATATAGTGCATATTAATCTGACTTTCCCTTTTTACTGATTTTGCTGATATTTTGGAAATTATACTCATTAAAATATATTACGCAACGCACAAATGGGGTGTTATTTTATAGTTTCTCCTTGCCTTCTTCGTTTTCTTCAAATCCAACAATTCATATACGCATTTGATTCGTTCTATACATTTTTTTATTTCAATCCAGAGTTAGTGTGTTGCGAACCGAGAGAACGACTTTAATTTTGCATAAAAATCATGGCAATAAAAATCCACATCGACCGGAACGAATTTCATTTGTGTCGATGCCGAATATTGCCTCGTATTGAATTTTACAAAATCGAATTCATTCAAGTTTTTTTCGTATTCCTTTTAAAATCAACAACAAAAGATGTACGTGTCAACCCCACGCCTTGAGTCAGAGACCATGCTGAGCAACACAACACGGATTTTTTTTTTCAATTCTAACTCGAATTTGTTATAGACATTTTTCATGTGATTTTTTTTTTTTCAAAATTAGATTTGATATTGCAGAATTTGAGACTGGACGACTACAGTGAAGTCACAATATATAAATTAAATGCCATCGCCAAGGCCAATTTTATAGCTGAAATAATTAAACAACCAATTGGTTGTTTCACCGCTGTTTAAGTCGCTTAAAATTGAATTACCGAACCAATGAAATGACCCTTTTACATGTTTTATTAGAAAAAAAAGGAACACAGTGACTTACGACGTAAAAAAAGTAGCAGGAAATTCGACTCAATACCAGATGAGGGTTGACATCATGTTTGCATAGGATAAAGTGCAGTTTTTTTTTTAAACGCTCCGGCAAATAGCAGACGGTTATCATTTAAAATCCGAGCTAGAATTTATGCTAAACGAAGGTATTTTTTTGATCACATTTTCAGTCTTTAGACTCTTATCCATATTACTTTTCCTGCATAATATTAATAAAAGTCATTTTAGCGAAGCAATAACATTGAATCAAGTCACTTTACTCCAATAATAAAATGATATGTATATTCAGTGAGACAAATCCGTTCGATTCAAATTGAATGCAATTTGCCAGTGAGCAGCAATGAATGTTGCTTTGAACCATTATATTATTGCAGCTATAAGCTGAATCGAGTACGGAGAGATTTTATGTAAATTGACTATTTTTACCAGTTTGTTATTACATTAAATCCACGCATGTAAGTCATATTTTCAGTGATTTCTTCCGACTAAAAACTCTTTATTTAAATATTCATTTGTATTATGTATTATTATTTGCGTTTATGATGTAAATTTCATGTTTTGTAGTAAATATTTTGAAATTTGATAGAATATCTGGTCATAGGTCAATGAAGAAAACACATGAACTTATTTTGATTCTTCCCATGAACGGTTTAGAGCAGTTTATGGACCACAATGAAGAATATTTGATTTGGTTCGTTATCTCTGAATATATAATGCAAGTAAAATACTGTCTACCAATTCAACATGTCATTTGAAAGTGTTGTTTTCCAACATTTTAGAAAATTGTGACAATATCTTGGTTAAGATTTTGAATAGATGCATGTATCATATATATGCATATACACCGGCCTAAAATAGCTTAGATTGAAAGTAATGCTGAAACCACATCGCACACAAACCGAAGAAATGCATATACGGAGAGTAAATTTTCCATTTCCTTCCTCTGCCAGTATGGTATATGTCTGTATTCGTGTGTCAAAGAGCGAATGACATAGAGAGAGAGAGAGGGAAAGAGAGAGTGGGAGAAAGAGTGATCAAGTTGAAATTTGTCATGCATTGTTCAGAGTATTTAACACGTATTCAACGTAAAATTTGCAATCGGGAAAGTCGCTGTCGTTGCTGTGCAATGTGCCAAAATTAACATTCTGTTGATACATTGGGCTATAAAACGAAATACACTGCAACTGACATCGATGAAAACCGTAGGTGCAAATGACTGGAATTACATATGCAATGCATGTGTATATGTGGATGTATGACACTGTCTGTGTCGATCGGACTGAAGCCGAAGAAGCATATCAACGCAGCACTATGTGGGAATTAGTTTTATTGCCATTTACTGAAGCATTCGGTGTCTATTTGTTACACTTTAGATAAAATCTGATGGCAAAACAAGCATGTTTCTCTGCCAATTTCTCAAGCCGATTAGATTGGAAGACACTTTATGATTGCCGTTATTGTTACAGCCGCTTTTGTTTGCCGCTATGTATGTGCTGCTCTGTCTTTCTGTCGACTAAATACTTTTTCATTCCTGAACTCGAAATGAGCACAAGCACACACACACACCCTAAGAAAACATTCGACGATTGCCGTTGGTATCGTTTTCTTAATATCAGCAATGTTTTTATAGCATCACGTCGCGATCATTTATTTATACAGTGAAAATCTTAATTATGTGGCGACTACTGTGACTCCATCTCGACAAAATGAATGTTTTCTTTTCTGACGTTCTCGTCGAGGTCCGGCTTCATGTATAAAACTCATTTACCCACAAACCGCAAGAAGATTGGCAACATTGCATAACATTTTATTTATGTATCGGTTGTGCATTTCCGTCGATAAAACCACAACACCATTTGAAAATAAATAAAGAGAAGCAAAAAAAAAGAGTCAAAGTGAAAATACAATCTATCAATAAATCGAATTGTAATTTCCGCCGTAACTTTTAGAAACTCATTTGCATCGACTGATGGAAGATGTTTTAATTATTTTCTACAACCACCTGATAACAGCACAGATAAAAACAACGCGTCGCATTGATTTCTTCATTATCTTTCATTTTGTCGCTGTTTTACATGAAATTGTCCAACACTTGCTCAACAAGTCAATTTGCATTTATCCATTATCCCCCTCAATCTCGTCGCGCACTTTCATTTCAAACTATTTTTTTTAATTAATCTTTAATTACTTTTATACAACTGTTTGTCTCATCAAGAGAGTTGTTCAACGGTTATTTGTAAGTACTTGTTGTAAAACTACATCGGTTTTTCTCTCATTATCAATTTGTCTGATTTGCTTAACTGTCAATTTTCATTAAGAATAAATTGGAGAGGAAAAAAAACGACTCTCTCACTCTCAATAATTAACTTGTGTATGTCGTCTGGAGCAATTCGTCGGTCAATCAGATGCATACCAATTTCTTGATGACAATTCAACACGAATTCCCATTGTAACCATATGCGACACGCACAACTGTAGTCCAATTTAACGGAATGCCAGACAAATAAAAATAATTAATATTCCTCAATAATGATGGTTTCGTTCCGAGAAACTTTCATTGTTAGATTGAAGGAAAGACACACATAGCTTAAAAATTGAAAAGTTACAATGTTAATGTGTATTCAAAAAGTTTTCGACGAATTTTTGACTCAATTATTTACACACTTATCAGCCAAGTCAGTCAAATTGGTGCTTTATCACATTACATACCCATTTTGCCATTCATAAATTATTAAAAAGAATTTCCTTTCAAATGAAAATCTAATACGTAGGTTGCTCCATAATTTTTTTTAAAATGGTACTTATAGTGTTGCCCGATGTAAACCATTGTCATATTCGTAAAGTTTGATGTTTTGGTATGTATTCGTGCCCTGAACCTTTTGTCGTACGAACGCTATTTGTATTGTTTACAGTGACTGGTAAACTGCGACTCAACAAAAAAATGAATTTTACACGTGAAGATTTTCGTAAAATGATTTACTACGATTTTCGAAGTAAATTATCTCAACAACAGTGTTTCGATCGACTTCATTTGGCCTTTGGCAATGAAGCACCAACCCTTCAGACAATTTATAACTGGTACCGAGAATTCCGTTGCGGTCGTAGTTCGCTCAAAGACGAGTTTCATACAGGTCGTCCAAAATCGGCTGTTGTGCCACAAAACATCGATGCTGTCAGAAAACTGATTATGGAAGATCGTCATGTGACCTACCGTGAGATTGAGGCATCTTTGGGCATTTCATCCCACAGCATACATACAATTTTGCATGAACATTTAGCCGTAAAAAAGATTTGCTCTCGTTGGATCCCACATAAATTGACCGACGAACAAAAAATGGCTCGTGTGAGTTGGTGTAAAGAAATGCTCAAGAAATTCAATCGTGGTGCTTCAAAAGACGTTAATAAAATCGTCACTGGTGACGAATCGTGGATATATGCCTATGAGCCCGAAACGAAACAGCAGTCGACTGTATGGGTCTTCCAAAATGAAGATAACCCAACGAAAGTTGTTCGAGCAAGAAGCACTTCGAAGCGAATGGTCGCCTGTTTTTTCGGGAGAAGTGGTCATGTGGCAACCGTTCCACTAGAGGATCGTAAGACCGTCAATTCTGATTGGTATACCACCATTTGTTTGCCCGAAGTGTTTGGTGAAATAAGAAAAAACAACCACCGTCGCAAAATAATTCTTCATCACGATAATGCGAGCTCTCACACATCTTTTCAAACTACTCGATTTTTGACCGGTCAAAACATCGAACTGATGGGTCATCCACCGTACAGTCCTGACCTGGCACCCAATGACTTTTTTTTGTTCCCAAGCGTGAAGAAAAAACTACGTGGTCAACGATTTTCGACACCAGAAGAAGCAGTTGAAGCGTTCAAAACACACGTTTTGGAGATATCAGTTTCGGAGTGGCACGAATGCTATGACAAATGGTTTCATCGAATGCAAAAGTGTATCGATCATCTCGGGGAATATTTTGAAAAACAATAAAACCATTTTCGACAAAAAACAACTGTGTTATATATGTTTTTAAAAAAAATTATGGAGCAACCCTCGTACTCACTCTTATTCTACAGTAAAAATTGGATCCGTTCTTGTTTTATTTAACCATGTTACGAGACGGTATCCAATTAAATGATTGGTTTAAGAAGTGATTCTTTCTCTTTAAACATTCGTCTTTTCCACTCTATTCGGTTTGTGTGTCTTCTTCTCATTATACATGGAATGCAACAGTCTGGCAACGGTGGATGCGGCTTCAAACACGCAAACCTCAACCATATTTGTTCTATCAACAACCGCATCGATTCACTTGTGGGCAAAATGCATACGACAATTTCGCAATATCAAAGAAACGCACGATGGAACAGGTAATGCTTGAGTCTCATAAAATCCATCGTCGTCATTGTCATCGTAGAAGAAACTAAGGGGGACGATTAACCGTTGGCACACAAAGAAAACATATACATTTATTTGCCATTAAAACCAAGAAAAAGGGAATCTTTGCAGACATGCAAACATTGGTGATGGCATCGTTTAGAAATACATACAACAGAAGCATAATTCAGGTGCTTAAGGCCAAAATAATGAATGTGAAACATTTATTTTTCCACAATTCACCAAAATCTTTGTACACAAAATAAACAACAGCCGAACACAAAATAACAAACACACACTCGCACAAACGAGAAAAAAAAAGAAGAATGCGAGAAAATCGCTACGAAAAAAAGCGAACATGTTTTTCTTTGCATTTAAGAACAGAAAAATGAACAAAACTCAGTCGGTTGCATGATACACTTTGTGAACCGGTTTTTGTTTTGTCGACGGAAATGAAGAAAGAAATGCCAACATTCGATGTGTTTTACCAGGAAAATATTGTTCAGGAAAAAATCACAGACTTTGGACAAAAAAAAACCGTCCCGTCTCCATGGAAAAATTCACGTCGAACATTTTATATGAAGACAAAAAGGGCCTTTAAGTAAGATGAAATACAAGACGAAATCAGAAAACAAAAAAAATAACACAATTATAGTCACAGGAATGTATCTCGTTTGAGAAGAGCACTTTCCAAAATATACACACAATCAAATAGACGAAAATATTTTATGAACAGCCAGAGAGAGAGAAGCAGAAAAACAAAGGGAG